TAGTTCTTTTCTTTATCTCTTTGTGTATATATATATATATATATATATATATACTGTATATATATACATATACATTGTAGTCACTCCCATGTTAGTGGTGGATTCCATAGCTCCTTCCCTCCATACACATATTGTATACAATCTCTCATTCCTGCTGCAGTGTGCAGTTCCCCTCTTTCTCCCTCTGTATATATATGGAGTCTCTATTTTCTATCTCTCTACACTAGTAATAACCTTCCCTCCTGCTCTAAAATAACCATCTAATTAACTTTCTGACATACCCGTCCCCTTTTGCAATGAAGCCGCTCACGCTCTGTCTCAGAAGGCAGACAGAGAGGGCACCAGAGCTTCGGATGACATTCTGATTGTGCCAGCCAGTGCCCAGACCTGGGGGCAGAGCAGGTAGCAGCTGCAGTGAAATGCATGTAAATGTGGGCATCTGCGGTCTTGCCAGGGTGCAATGCACAGAGCGGCACCGGTGGATAAGGAAGTGGTTGATGCCAGCTGGTACCAGACTTCAGAGGGCAATGAATGGTATTATAATATGGATTATTAATCTTTGAATGGCCGCCTCTTGTCTGACCGATAGAATGAACAAATCTTGAAGGCCGGCAATTCGTAATAAAAGGTCTCACTAGCCCAGCAACTGAATAAGGCGATGGGCCGCATGAAGAGAACAGCAGCCCACACCGACCAATCAGATCGGCTTTATAAAATCTGTTTGCTATGTGTCCCCTTTCCATACTGGAATTACAGAGTAAATCCACCTAAAACTGACAGATATCTTCCCCTATAGCGGCCGCTATAAGAGGGTCTCACTCACTCTGTCACACTTTTCCCTACAAAGAACGCAGCAAGAGAATAGGTCACCAGGACAATGGGGGGGGGGGGGGGGGGGACTCTTGCTGCTGGAGTAGCGCGTTATTCAGCCCACCATGTTCTCTCCCGCAAACCAAACATAATTTTTGGGTGGAATGATCCTTTAAATACAAATGCGCTGCTGCTACCATCAGCGGGGAAGGCAGCACGGTGCGCTGCTGCTGCAGAGGTATTAATAGATTTAGAACGGTGTTCAAATATATATATATATATATTGACGTACCTGCTGGCAGGGTGCCCCCGTTGTGCGCTCCACATAGCCCATGGGTACGCTCAGGTGAAGCGAGCGCTGACGGCGCAGGGTAAGCTTTGCATCTCAGAGTCGCTGGTCCAGCAGACAGGCAGCCCGAGTCGAGTGCTGTCACTGCAGGCATCCGCTGTGTGCGTGTGTGCGTGTGTGGAGCTGCAGTTACTGGAGCAGCAACCAGCTCTCATCTGATACACAGAGGGGGCTGCACGTCTACTGACTCCAACAAAACGCATCGAACTCCTTCAGGGGTGAAAAAGCTGCCGGGAGAGAGAGGGAGAGATGGGATCTCAATCCCATTGGATGGAGGGAGGATACAAAACACTAATTACTCTGCAGATCTGTCTCTGCCTGCTCCTGGGATCTCTGCATCCGTTCTCTGTATTGGAAGGGATTCCGCACTCCTGAATAAAGGGACGCGGTTTGGATGGGGGGGCGGGTCACGTCCTAACGACATAAAAAAAGAAACCTGCATAATGTGCCGGCAGCTCGGACAGGACTCCAGAGCCCACGTTTTCATTATTTAGGGATTACAGGAAGGGGGATACAGGGAGATGGCGTGATGAGTTTACTGAACGGAGAGAGCAAATAGAATATGTATATATATATGTATGTGTGGGGGAGAGAGAGAGGGAGAGAGAGAGAGAGATAATGTCAATGGACTTACCTATTCCCCCCATACCATTCTTTACCCCTAATAATGTCCCACTACTACTCCCCCCCCCATCCCATATAACCTCCCCATATGCTTTTGCAATGCTAAAATGTATTTGGTCGTGCTAATTAAGCTTATTTGAATTGAATTGAGAGAGAGAGAGAGATTATCTTACCTGCCAAAAGATTTGTATTTCTGGCCATCCCGTGCTGAGATTTACACAGCTCCTCTACAGAGCAAAGCCTTGTCTGCAAGGGAATCTTTCAGGTAATGCATACATAACTTGTCCCTCCCCCCAGCCTTTGACTGGACAGTGAAAGGAGTAGCAGCACACTGATGAGTTCATCTCTCTGTCACTCTGCTCTCTCCTGCCATCAGAATGTCCCTTCTTCTTACACGAACACTGCAGCATAACTGGCCGACTCCTTGCTTTGCTTCTTCCTCTCCCAGGTCTGAGGCAGTGCTGTGCAAAGAAAGCATGCAAGCTGACAATGGTTCTAATTCAGGTACTTACACTGCTTGGATGAACACGTGACTCGCTTCCTCTCTACCATGTGACAGCATTGGGATCCTGTTGATTGGTTCAGCACGGTCACATGAGGGTAAGGAAGGAGTCTGTAGTCCTGTGTAAGCTCTTGTAAGGTTGACTTGGAGCCTGCACAGGTTTTCTTGTTTCGGTGGGCAAACACAGCAGTAGAGGAAGAAGGAAAGGCCAGTATGTGCTGCTAGGGGAAAGGGGGAGAATCACTCTCACTGTATTTACTAGTCATCACCAGTGCAGCTAACAACAACCTCGGAAGATAAAAAGAAAACTCCAGACATGAAAAAACAAAACAAAAAAATAACAATAATAATAACATAAAATAATATTAATATATACTGTAGTACAGCATCCAAATCAGAGAGAAAATGACAGCCGGCCGAGCTCTGCGGGACGAGCGCTGTGAGCGGCCGGTGTCTTTCCCCCCCCACCACCCGGCCGCCCCCCAATGAGATGCTGCCTCATTAAAGGGATGGCCCTGAGCCAACATATGTCTCTCCATAAAGACCTTACAGCAAATTTCAGTAACTCAGACACTGGATTTTTCCATCCCGTCCTCCCAGCTCAGTGACCATGAAATTAGCGAAGGACAGCATACAACTAATGTGACGTACTTTGTACAGTTACTTTTAGATGTTCGGCTCACATTTGACGCACTTGTACCAGCGAACGTTCCCAAATTCATGAATGATTCACTAGGCCAGTATGGATCAATACGGAATCATAGCAAACTGTTAGAAGGGCTTGTACCACATGTATTCAATTCCTAGGCATGTGTGCTTTATCCTGGTTCTCTTTCTATCATGGTAAAGGTTCTTAGCGTGTCTCTCTTGTGTCAGCACAGCATGTGAGATGCTTGGCTCTAGGCCAGGAGATTACTAGTAGTGTCCCCCCCTGATTATTGCTGCATTGCATTCCACGGGACATAAATCTCAGTTGGTCCGGCAATTAGAAAGGCCGGGGGTGGGGGGAAGCTGTCAGATCTGCTGTGCCTGGGGGTGGACGGTGGCCTTCATCTCCTGGGATGACGGGATGTCACCTGCTAGTGGCACCTTCATGAGTGGCTGGAGAGATCCTGGTTATTAAAGTGACCCTGTCACGATGGGTTGAAATAAAACTAAAGGCCGCCGGTTAAACAAGATGATGTATAATCACCTTTCTGGGTGTGTCCATAACCTGCGCCCCTGCTGCGGACTGTAGTTCCTCCCGCAAGCTTGTACATCGTGTATTGAAGTAGGAGATGGTTTGGTACTACACGCCTGCCCGTCTAGCGAAATACGTTCCCTCCTACTCTCCGCATTGTTTCCGGGGCTGTGGCGCGTCGGGCACCATGATCCACATTTGGTGGACATGCCCCCGGGGGACAAGTCTATGGAATAGGGTCTACGACCTAATAAACTCTCTCTTCCAACTCACCCTACCAAGGGAACCGTGTGAGGCATTGTTCCTACAGCCAATTCCACAATTGACGCGTTACCAGAAACACCTTGTGTCCCACATCTTTGTCGCCACCAAAATGACAATCGCCAGAGCGTGGAAAACCCCGACCCTGAGCTTTAGGGAATTCAAAAATCGCCTAGACGATATATTGGTGAACGAGAAACTGACAGCGGTTTTGTCCGACACTCATGACCGCTTCCTACTGATTTGGCAACCTTGGATTGATTACTCTAAACCCCTGGTTCTCAACTCATGAGAGTGGGTCGCGGTGCCCTTCCTGCATGGAGCAGCCTATCTTCAGTAGGGAGACACAGAGGGGGTGGGGCCTGGGGCTGGGGGGGGGGGGGCCAGTGAGGTCCGGTCCTGGGCCACCCCCTAGTAGAATATGCGGCAGTGCAGGGTCCCGGGGCCACGCACTGCCGACGGTCTTCTCTTCAAGGGGGCAGGTCCTGTGACTCACCTCCTCTCACGGCTGCGTCCCTAGTAACAGGCGGCGGGAGAGGAGTAGTGTGTGTACAGCCGGTACCCATGTGAGGGGTGGGCGCAGCCTGGGGGGCAACTTGGGTTGCGACTTAATGACCAAGGACAAATGTGGGTTGAGAACCACTGCTCTAAACCACCATCTTTTGATCCACAGCTCTTATCCATTTAGAGGCTCTGTACTACACACCTCCCCCTGGACCCCCTTCCCAACGTAACACCTTCCCCTGTCCTAATCCCGTTCCTCCCCTCCTTCTCCATCTCCATTACCTCTTCCTTTACCTTCCCTGTTGCCATCTCTATACAGATCTGTGCTGTTTGACGTGCTCCTTATTATCTGGACCAAATGTTCCGGTGTAGGGGGTCGTGAACCTCATTGATCTCGCCTCCACAATATTCAGACACCTGACCCGAAAAGTCCCCCTATGATGATCCTTTTCCATGTTATTATGGGTCTTACGCACTAGAACTGAACAGCAATGCCCCTTTCATGCTTCCAAATTGTTCTTTAGTACCCGTTCTACTACTTCTGTTATACAGTCTGCAGAGCTCTGCACAATGTTGTGGCTGTGCATTTTCTATTTGTGTTCCTTGTTCCAGGGCTTGCATGCCCTACCTCTGTTATTTGTGTAACCTTCATGCGAAAAAACAGACAGAAACCAAATAAAACCTTTGTGCAAGAAGTAGGAGATGGTGGGAGGAACCACTGTTTGTAGGGGGGGTAGCAGGTATCTGCCACACCCTAAAGTGTCAGATACTGGAGGGTCCAGGGTGGAGTTTTAATACAGAGGCCTCCAGAAAGGTAAGCATGCAGTATCTTGTTTTACAGGCTGTCTTTAGTTATTTTTTCGAGCTTAGATTGACAGGGTCACTTTAAAGAGTAAGTGCTGCATCACCGGCTCCAGTGGAATTACAAGTCAACCCTACTACCATCCCTTTAATGTCCCATTGTGAGAGCTTAGTCACCAGCCGAGAAGATATTTAATAAGTCTGTAGCCCCTATATAATATACATATATGTGCTATCACAGCGATTCTTGTACCTAACAGTAAGGAGTTAACTTGGCCCTGTGTGTGATCTGAAGCAGAGATTTGTGGGGATTGCAGTGCAGAGCTGACACTGGGGATTGCTAATAGAGCTCTTGTGAACTACCACTCCCAGGATGCTGTGCGAGAGGAGGGAGGAGGGCTATGTACTGCAGTGACTGAGCATGCCCAGTCTGACTGGAGGATCTGGAGGAGACAGGCCTGTGTGCGGCACTGTGTGAATTAGGACTGCGTGCAGCAGAGCTGTGTGATTCCCACTGACAGATTGAGACACACAGAATCTGTACAGCAGCGCTCTGAAGGACGGATGTTCATCTGCTTAACCAGAGAGACTGTGTTCGAGCGCCCGAACTGAGGCCTAGTTGCACGGCTGAACCAGCCGCCGGAGTGATCCAGCCAGCCCAGCAGAGAGAGAGGGAGCCAGCTGGATCCAACCGAGATGACTGCAAACATCCTGGATGGGTGAAAACCTCCTACCAGTGACCCAGATGACTTCCCCGCCTAAGCTGAAGAGAGAGGACGTCCAGCTTCTGCTATCAGTCTTCATCTTTTTTTCAACTGACCTGAGGATTGGTGAGAGGCCTTTGGCCACATTGAGAACCTGTTTGCTGTTCATATCTGCACTACAGTAAGGGCCCCAACGCCGGCTAGCTTAGGACACCACTACTAGCCAGTAGTCTAGGAAGGGTTGGACATTGCCAAAGGGAAACCTTAAAGGGACATACACCCCATTCAAGGGAGGACATTTAAAGACAATTGGCCTTGCATACATCACTGCTGACAGCAGATAGCTGCAGCTACTGTGTTGCAGAGTGCCTTAGCCTGCTGCTTAAT